ACACACACACACACACACACACACACACACACACACACACACCTCTTGAGCACACATTCGAAAAAATTTTCTTCCTTTTCCTTCCCTAATCTTCTCCCAGTTTCTACTCCTTCACCTTTTCTTACCCTTCTATAACTCAGCACTAGTTTCTGTAAACCTGTCCTCAATCTATCCTCACCCCGATCTGAATAAATCTGCCAAGGTGTGGCCCTCTGATTTGACACTCCCTAGCTCTGATGCCCTCCTCCCACGTGTTTCCACATTGTTATTATTGTTCCATAACTCACCCAGGGTAACCATTAACCCAAGTCTCCTCACTCCCACCCTTCTCTCTCAAGGGGATTTTTCAGCCACTACTAGTCTGTTCGATTACTCGTGCCAAGTTACTCAAATCCTCACACTCTCCCTAATTTCCATCCCTTCCTTCAGGGCTCATTTCTGTCAATTGTTCTTTTTAAAATTAATTTTTATTAGTATCTTTTGTTTTTACATCACCAAAATTTCTCACAGTATCCCTCACCATCCCCCTTCCAGAAAGCTATCCCATATAATAACAAATAATATTTTTGAAATAAAGAGGAGGAAGAAGAGACCAAAAAAAAAATCAGCAAAACTGATAACGCAGTGAAAAGATTTGAAAACATATGCTTGTTCTTTGTAATTTTGCAACATTCATTTTTGAGTGTTTTTTCTATTTATATTGTTGTAATCATTATAATATATTGTTTTCTCAGCTCTGTTTACTTCACTCTTCATCAGATCATCCAGTCTTTTGACCAGTTAACATAACAGAAAAGAGGAAGGGAACTTTGGGAGGTGTATAACCAGAAGTGTGCTGATACATATTTAACAACCAGCTCTCAAAAATGCACTATATATAATCTACATTATGAACATTTTCTCCATCACTTTCTTAAGTCTACACAGCCAACAATACGATAAAGCCATAAATTTAAATCAATAATTAAAAGAATAAATCAAAACAATAAGTGATATATATCATATGCACATTTCTTTTTTATTC